TCCCTCCCTCCCTCCCTCCCTCCCACCCTCACTCACTCACTCCCTCCCTCCCTCACTCACTCACTTACTCACTCACTCACTCACCAATACAAACCCGATAAATGTTGGATTGACCCGTTCGTGGTACGTATCAACATCAGCGAGGACTAATGACGTAATCACGGCGTTTATGAAACCGTCATTCAACTTCCACGTTTAATGATCAGACTCGAGTGTTATTTCTCCCGTGATGTATGAAACGAAATAAACTGAGCTCGCAGACTTTACGGAAGCTAGCTGGAGATAACCAAAAGGGGGGTGATTATTTTATCGGCGAAAGACCCAATTTGCCGGCACAAGAGCCGTCTCCCCGCAGTCGTTACACGCCAAAATACGAGCTTGGTCCCAAAGCTTGGTTGGAATGCGAGGGGCACCTGTGAGGCATCTCGCAACCAATTATTTAATAGTTTGTGCACCTTTATTTTTGGTTTTGGTTTTTTTAAAATTTATTGTTTTCTATTTGATAGTATGCTCAACCTTGCATAGACCAAGTTGCATATTACATAGCTAACAAACAGATATAAAAATTAATAATATTATACTATTGAATATGAGTATATTGCGTATTTACTTTACATATTTCAGACATCCAAAGTTTTGTTCACATGTTGGTGGATAGAAAATTCCATACTGGAGATCCTAACAATATGTTACTAAAGTTTTAACGCACAAACTGGGCGTATTTTCGAGAGGGTACGGCTGTCGAAATTTAGAGAAAAGAAGCAGGGTAGAGAGTGGGGGTAATTTTCAAAAAACAATAATGTACCCCTTTAGCCTCAGACAAGTATGAAGAAAAGGGGAAATCATTGAATGAACGTGCGCCATAGATGTATACAAAATGCCAAACAATATTTCTAAGCAGCTTAGTCTTCAACATAGCACCTTGGAAATTTGTTGACAATATTATTATGCAGGGTTTCGTGACAATATTCAAACTTCCCCTGTTTTACCCTTAGATCGCAACGCGGAGGCACAAAACAAACTTTCATATTCAGTTAGCTTCATGAGTTTTTTCCCTAAATTTAAAATAACATTTAAAATAAATCTTATAATCAGCTGCCTGTTTGTACGTTTTTGCTTTGGGTTTGATTTGGGGTTTTTTGGGTCACTTTTCGAGGCTGTAACTCGTTATGTCACTAAATCTTTCATGTATGCATTGTACTATCGGAGCACGGTAACTGCTCATAAAGTGCGCGTTTTTAGGTGTCAGCAGTCGAGTAGTCAGGTTGCCGAACTCGTAATCGTGAGGCTTCGGGGTTGGGGGCTCGAGACTCAGCTCAGCCCGACATTGTGTTCTTGGGAAGAGAAGTTTACACATAGTTTCCTATTTGGCTCTGTCCCATGGGAGTAAAAAAAAAATAGCATGTGTGATTTCGGTGGATTTGACTGAATTGTTCCAAGGGCGGGGGCTTGTTTGTTTGTTTATTTTGTTGGTTTGTTGTTGTTGTTGTTGTTGTTGTTGTTGTTGTTGTTGTTGTTGTTGTTGTTGTTGTTGTTGTTGTTATAATCAAACTGTTACTGTGGCAACAGCTTGAGAAAACACCAAGGCTGACTTGTTGTCCATTTGCCCTAGTGGTTGTGATTGAAGGGCAGAGCTGTGGGACGTTGATTGCTAAGCAAGGATTGTTTTCCTTTTGGGGTTTATACTGTTGTTTGTTTGGATTTTTTGTGTGTGTTGTTTGGGGGGGGGGGTGGAGGGAGGGAGAATGGTTTTAGTTCCGTGCCCTTTTTGTCTGACGCAGGTGTTGCACGTGTGCTGACGTTCAGGTTGACCTGGATCCACTAAAGAACGCTAACAAATCATGACGTTGGTCCCCCCTCCACCACCCTCCTTATCAACTTCCACCTCTGTCCCCAACCATTTACTCTTGGGTTTACAGGATACTGATTATCACGAATAAAGAATATTTGAAGACTCTTTACTTTCCTCGGTTTTGTTGTTGTTGTTGTTGTTGTTGTTGTTGTTGTTGTTGTTGTTGTTGTTGTT